TTACACTGTAGGACAGACTGAATAATAATATAATGGCAGGGTATTACACTGTAGGACAGACTGAATAATAATATAATGGCAGGGTATTACACTGTAGGACAGACTGAATAATAATATAATGGCAGGGTATTACACTGTAGGACAGACTGAATAATAATATAATGGCAGGGTATTACACTGTAGGACAGACTGAATAATAATATAATGGCAGGGTATTACACTGTAGGACAGACTGAATAATAATATAATGCCAGGGTATTACACTGTAGGACAGACTGAATAATAATATAATGGCAGGGTATTACACTGTAGGACAGACTGAATAATAATATAATGCCAGGGTATTACACTGTAGGACAGACTGAATAATAATATAATGGCAGGGTATTACACTGTAGGACAGACTGAATAATAATGGCCACTCTAAGTGCTCCAAACTTTTTTTCGTCTTTTGGGCTTGACTTTGCTCATTGCGGATATTTTCCTCCCCCCTTTGAGGCTCAGAAAAATTATGTGCAACTCACAAATTAGCTGGGCATGTTGTATGTTAAGCCATTGATTTACGTGTATTTACCAAACAAGTCATGCAAATTATAGATCATCAAAATTTTATTTATAAAGTCTGCTGTCCATCATTGTGAAGACTTCCTAGAAACCATGTGCATGTGCAATGTTTCAGAGGGTCCAAGAGTTCAATAATGTTTTGGAGTTATGACCACTTTTTGGATGGCATTTACAGAAATATTTGATGGTGATATGACTTCAATTATAAGTTTAGATATGAGTCTAAGTGATTGCATGTTATGGCAATGTGCAGTAGTAAACCATTTTTTGTTGAACTAAATAACCTGTCAGAGTATTGTAGTGTATTTTAAGATTTTTAAATTTATTTTATGTTTAAATATAATTTGTTGATTTGACTGCTTGGTTATGTGATCAGTCACTTTTGTTTTTTTTTAAACAGGATTACCATTACCAGATAATGACCAAGCCATACGGGCAAGAACTAGTGGTTTGTAGAAACTTAACTGTAATGCTACAATGTGTATCATAATATTATTTTTAATTGTTCAGCATTAAAACAATACAATCTTGTGATACACGAATATGAGGAAATTAAATCTGATTGTTAGTTCTCCTTCCTAGCTACTAAATGTTTCCTTGTAATTTAGTATAAAAATTTGGTGTCAGATCAAGATAACTTCTACCTGATAAGTTTGAGTATTCTCACTACCTGTTTACTAGATAATGCTTAGAATAATTATTACAGGGAGAAGTTATATGTTCATCATTTGTTGGAGTTAAAAGGGTTACATGACTTGTGTACCATCATCAGCTTTAAACCTGACAATGTAAATTTTCTATTCCAGTTTTTAATGAACATGTTGTTGAGCAAGAAGCATTTGCCAAAAATCCTGGTGAAGGCCTCTCTCAGGTGAGTAGCAAAAGTTTTAATTGTTAAAGGTCCACTTTTATTAAAAGGTCCACTGTAGCAGCTCAGGTCTGTGTGGAGACACAATGCATTGAATTTTGGTTTTTCTCCTTTGAATTTGCCCTTTGATGTAATGGTAGTACTTATTGTGATGGCAGTGTTGTTTTAATCCACAAATACTGCGAAAAACTCTGGAAGCAATATACTAATAAAGTTGAACCTCAATTATCTGAATTCCCAGGGACTGAGCTGAATAGTTTGGATGATGAAAAATCTGAATATTATTTAATGAGCCAAAACTAAAACTGGATACATATCATTCAACAAATATTCAGTTAAGCAAGAATTAAAACACATTCACATATCATTGTGCATCCTTGTGTGTGTGTCGCCAAGGAAATAAATGTATTATTTCAACTCAATCACCTAGCAACTCATTATTTTATTTTTACTTCAATTTGTAGTCATCATCAGCATCATCATACAATTCAGTAGGACAACCACCAAGAAATGCTGTGAGCTTTTTACAAGCTGTCTTTTTACCTGGAGTTATACCTGTAAGTTCAATTATTGTGGTTCTGTCCTTTTACTCCTACACTCCTAAGATCTCATTTCTGTATACCATCTGCCATACAATTCTTTAAAGGTTAGTTTGGAGAATTTGGTATTGAGGGTCGTTCAGGGGGGGGTCTGTCACACACAGTTCACGAAGAGAAAAAATGGCAAATCACGGATCACAGATATTAAAATTTCATTTTCCCGAATCACAAAAATAAAGAAGTAAGATACTCCTTTTAAAAACCTTCTCTTAGACTAGAAAGAATGTTTGAAGAAGCAAAATCGTGAAAGACTACGTACAGGCTGCAAACCGTAAATCACCTACCCAAATCACTCTCGTTGGATAACTCTGACCATTCATCCACTTCGTGTTGTAACTGCCCGAAGAAAAACCAAGTTGTCTGAAGAATCTTCCTTGTCATTGTCCGCAATAGAATATTCAGCTTCTGAGTCAGTGACATACTCTTCCTCCTCTTCTGCCTCTGCTGCCTCTACTACTTTATCGTCCTCAATGGCCTCGTGTGATGTAGGACTGGTGTAACAGTCCTAATGGTTGTAGCAGAAGTAACAGTCCCCTCTTGGATAGTGTTATGGCTGAACGAGACTTTATCTTTAGGATAGTCGAATGCTCTGTACATATTTAACGGCAATGTTCCGGCCTTGAACATGGTGGTCTCTTGCCTGGCACTTCTCTGCCGTGCAGCCTTCCCATTATTTGTCACCCACTCAATCATGAGGTCTTTTTCCTGCCTATTCAACTCCCTTCTTGCATTGAGATGCTCTAGCTTTGAAATGGCATTTAGTGGAGTGCTCTGGTGTAACACGGGTTAGTAGGATTTATCGTGCATGAAGTAGTAGGCACTCCAGGGTAATACATGCTTAATGCTTTTGTATATGATATTTGCCAGATTCGGTGCATACTGCAGCTGCAAAAGGGTAGGAAACTGGTCCTTGAAATGACCAACTGCATGGAGGTTTTCAACCTGAACTGTAAGACAGGAGTACAGATCAATGGCGAAGCCCGGATTGTGTTCTTTAACTAAAGCCTCCAGATCTTTCAGTCCATTTAAGATCATGTTCACCGAACGCTTTGTCTGATTAGAAATAGTTCCTTGTGGACCACTAGGTTTACCTGTGCTGGTATCATTGACATCGTTGCTATGCGATAACACTTTTTCTGTTATTGTTTCCAAGTAACTGTCAAGTTCTTCCAGAAGCTCAATTGCCTGTAGTAGGGAACGTTTTGGTACAGTCTGATGTTTCATATGACCAGAAAAGGCTTCATAAAGGACTCCAAGATGGCCTAGATACTTAATAGTGCCTTTTATCAAGGTAACCAGCTTCACAGAGACTGTTTGAGCATTGGTGATGAATGTGTTCTTCTCGTTAGTTAGTTAAGCCCCTGGCTCCAGGTTGGAGCATGGGCCATCAACAAACTGCCACCACTGATGCCTCTTTTCTGCCAGCTGTTGCAGCTCCTTCCAGTTCTTCCCGAGGACCTTCATCTCTTTTTCCGTATCCCTCCTCCAGGTATTCTTGGGGCGGCCCCTCTTTCATTTTCCCTGTGGATTCCAATGCAGGGCTTGCCTCGTAATGCTGTTTGAAGGTCTTCTCAGCGTGTGGCCTACCCACATCCATTTTCTCTTCCTCACTTGCTTGACCATTGGTATTTGACCTGTCTGCTCCCAGAGCTCTCCGTGTTCTTCTCGTGCTCCACACATATGCCCATTGGCTGCGCAAATGTTGCTTGCTCTCTCTTTCCATTTGAATTACCTTCCTTTCCTGTTCCAGCAATGACTACGGCCTCCTCACCACAAATCTTCGTCTTTATTTGTAAGCATTAACGTCCTTATACGGACCAAACACTGAGCCAGATTTTCCCCATCCCCCACCCCTCCCCCTTGCTACCCATGCGATTAAAATGACAGTACAAAAATACTTATCGCCTTATCGCCCCTCCCCTTCAAGCGACGGAAACTTTTACACCCACCTTTGTCCATCTCTTCGAGGTCTTTCCTCTGTCTTTCATTTCGCTCGAAATCTTGACCTCTTGATTCTTTTAACAAGTTCTTCATCCTCCAGTTTTGTTGCTGATCTCTTCCTTCCAGTTCTTCTGGGTTTGCTTATGGGCCTGCTAGTATCTGCATTGCCGGTGGCTAGGCAGACCTTGATAACAGGCAATGCTTTTTCAAAGGTAATTTCTTTTCTTAAAACGTTTACTGGAAAGTAATTAGGAAGAATATTTTCTAAGGTAAGCCACACATAAAGAGGTCATAAAAACCTTCGTGTCACTTTTAATTCTTTCTGCGCGCTTTGAGCGATGTTGTCATCCTGACATGGTTACCTTATTCTCTTGCTCTTCTTATTAACCTTGATCAGTAACTTATTAACTTAAAGAAAAGTCGGCCCGTCAGTATCTTTCAGAACGACCCTTGAAGTCATTTAATAAGAAGTAAATAAATTCCTACCTTATAATGAAGTTGTATTTCCTGATAGTAGTGGCCTCTCCTCATCCCATTGCTCTTGTGTATTTATCATAAAGTCCTTACTGCCATCTTTTCCCTTTTCCAGGCGACAGAATTTAAGTTCAACACAGGAACCAAGGCCACGTTTCTTGGCCTCTGCCTTTATTCTGACAAATTCCGTGAACTTTTTAGTAAACACTGCCAAAGATGAATGTTCGTCTCTAATCGGAAAGCGAACTTGTTCCTTTCCAAGAAAATTAAGTGAACCCACAGACTTCGGGTCCACATAAAATATAATAAACTCGACCCTTATCGTACTAGACAGACACTCTTCCCTGCCATGTCTCGGAAGTTTTGATGTTTCGGATCACTGGTCTTTGACGGCTTTGACCTCCCGTGACGTAGGAGTCAATAGGAGTCAACATCCGATCCTTGATAGGCATGCAAAGCACGTGAATTTGAATAATGGATTACTTTACGATTTTTACGATGGATTACTTTCCAATGTTTACCAAACTTATACAAAGTCTGTTACTTGTCACATTTGATGCTTTCAGTCAAAGAAATCTTCTGGAATAGTTGCATCTCAAGAATCACAGAGAATAAAATGGTCAAATCACAAATATCATTTAATAATTCAAGTTCTTCACGAGTCACGCAAAACGTTCAGGTCATGGATCACGAAGAATAATTTATTAAATTCACGTTTCATGGATAATAAAATCAGTTAATCGTGCATCACGAAAATACCCCTGTACGACCCTCGGTATTGGATCAACTAATAATCCCCCAATGGATTTTTTCTTTTCCTCATCACTTGTCTGCTTTATA